AGCTTCTTTTACTTAGTTTTCCTTTCCCATTTGATTTGTTAGATGGGGTCATGCTCCTACGATCTCCCAGGTTTAAGCTCCCAAGCTACACTCCTAGTGATTATTACTGAAGCGCTTAAAGCACTGGGCTGCTAACTGAAAAGTCTGAGGTTCAAACCCACCACCTGAGCCACAGGAGAAAGATGTGGCAGTCTGCTTCTGTAAAGATTATAGCCTTGGAAACCCTATGGGGCAGTTCTACTCTGTCCTATAAAGTCGCTATGAGTTGGAATCCACTCAGCGGCAATGGCTTTGGTTTTTGGGTTTTGCTATCGTTCACACGTTTGCTATCTTTGAAAGCAACGATGTATCCTGCGATGTCGCAATGTTCTAATACAGATATCCTCTTTTAGAAAGCTTGTTTTACGCCACTTTGCTTTTACGAAAAACCTACGTCAGTACCTGTTTTCCCTAACCAAAAGAAATCCTAAGAGGATTTTTGTTTTTATGAAAAAAGGCGAAGAGCAGAAATAGCATTCAGAGTTTGTTTTGCAGCCAGCCCTTAGAGAAGCAGTGAGAATCCCAAGCATCGAGAGTGGCATTGCCAATCTCCTTCCCTGGGAACTACACTCAGCATTCCTGCTTTTACTGTATGTTAGTGTTATTTTAGGCTTATGTGTTATTTTGAAGGATATTTTGTGGGTCAGGGAATGCTTAAAAATTTTTCCCATATAAATTAATGGTAATTGCTTTATGCCATTTTGGCTTACGAAAGGTTTCATAGGAATCCTCTACTTTTGGATAGCAGGGGAAACCTGTATTCCTGATTGCTAAGAGTTCGTGTGCCAGAGCAGAAAGAACATGGGCCTTGGAGTCAGGCACCACTTACTACCAGCGTGGCCTAGGTCAAAAACTCATTCCTTAACATCTCAGACCTACATCTCTAAACACTGGAGTTGTTTTGATGCTTGCATTTTAAAAGTTCTTAGCACAAGGGCAGAGAGAGTGGGAGCTCAGGAGATGGTACCTCTTGTCTTCTTTTGGCATTGCCTTCCTCCTAAGTCTTGTCTTCCTGTGCATTCCATCTGGTGAGGTCCGTGTGTAAAGTTGCCGTTTATGTTGTTGAAAAAAGGTATTTCCAAAGAATAGGTTGTTGATCTTGCAAAATACTATCATGTGATCTCCAGCATCGTTTCTATCACCAAGGTCATATTTTCCAACTACTGATCCTTCTTTGTTTCCGACTTTCCCATTCCAATCACCAGTAATTATCAATGCATTCATTAGTTATGGGAACGTGTAATGTATGAAGTATGAATCTACGAAAATTGCAAATTGTCGTAAATAAAATGGAACACATAAACATATAATTGAACACATAATTGATCAATGTTTGATCAATTTCAGACTGCAGAAGTTGGTAAAAATCTTCACTTTCTTCTTCATCCTTGGCATTAGTGGTTGATGTGTACATTTGAATAATAGTCATATTAACTGGTCTTCCTTGTAGGTGTATATATATTACCTTATCACTGACAGTGTTGTACTTCAGGATAGATCTTGAAATCTTCTTTTTGACCATGAATGCAATGCCATTCCTCTTCAATTTGTCATTTCCTGGCATAGTAGACCATATGATTGTCCAACTCAAAATGGCCAATACGAGTCCATTTCAGCTCATTATTGCCTAGGATGGAGCCCTGGTGGCACAGTGGTTAAGTGCTTGGCTGCTAACCAAAAGTTGGCAGTTCGAATCC